GTGAAGTTTTCCTTTTGAGACAAGTACAGGCTTATCTGCTTTCTCATCTCTCCCTCACAAGTTGCTCTTGAAATTTGGGACCTTTGAATTTCTCAGCAGTGTTTCCAGTACTTCTGTTTTTTAAAAAACCTTGAGATCTATACGGGTAGTCCTCGATTTACAACAGATCATTTAGTGACTGTTCAAAGTTGCAACAGCATTGAAAAAATATGACTTATGACCATTTTCCACACTTACAACTGTTGCAGCATTCCTATGGCCATGTGATCAAGATTTGGATGCTTGGCAACTGACTCATATTTATGATGGTTGCACTGTCCCAGGGTCATGGGATCAACTTCTGCAAACTTCTGACAAGCAAAGTCAAGGGAGAAGCCCGATTCGCTTAAGAACTGTGTTATTAACTTAACAATTACTGTAATGGTACCATAAGAACTGTGGCAAGAAAGGTCATGAAATGGGGAAAAACTCACTTAACAAATGTTTCAGTTAGCAACAGAAATGTTGGGGTCAATTGTGGTCATAAGTCAAGGACTACCTGTACTCAGTTGTATACTTCTGAATATATTTCTACTACAGCATCTAATTGCTTACCTACACTTTGCAGGACCTTGAAGAAGAAGGCACATGAATCGCTTAGACCAGAGGTCTTCAAACTTGGCCCTTTTATGACTTGCGGATTTCAAATCCCAGAATTCCTCAGCCAGCATGCCTGGCAGAGGAATTTTGTGAGTTGAAGTCCACAAGTCATAAAAAGGCCATGTTTGAAGACCCCTGGTAGACATAGGACGATGGACATATTCAACAATTCAGCAATTACATTACAAACTTCAACCTTGCCAGTTTTATTCTAGCAATGTAACTTTCTCATCAAATTTCTAATGGCTTATTCACTGAGTGTTTTACAGAAAGTCAGTTTATTTAATAATTTAGTTGAAGATGGAAAGAGATAAACTCTATACATTTACAACTTAAGTCAAAGATGTTCTGCAAGATTTAACTGCATCACATAAAATCACATTTAAGCTATGACATCAGCTGGGATTCTTAATGGCATACAGTTTATATTTAAAGGTCTCTTTTACAGACCAACATGCTTTGCTTTCATATTTGAATCACTTGTAACCTTGATCCATAAAGTTAATAAATGATCAATTTTGCTCTTAAATGAATGAATGAATGATAAACAAATGATAGGTTCAGCTCTTCAAGAAAAACTCTTGTCAACCCAGCACCACTAAGGTCTTTGATACTTATTTATTCTACAGAATGCTCTTCAACTAGTCTTTTCTACACTGACTGTTCTAAGATTAAATGCCAACTTTATTATTATATTTGTGTGTGTCTCTGTGTATCTTAAATATGGGGCACAATTAAGGATGATAGAATTTGGATGATTTAACTATATTTAAGATCATCTTCAGTATACTGTATGGCCTATCAATTAAATTTATTTTTCATGCTTTTTGATATGCCTGCTGTATTCTGCAACATTGTTCATAATTAACCGTAAGCTCAATTTGTTAGAGAAAATTACCATTTGAGACATCTCTCCTTGTTTCACGACTCACAAGAGCACCTCTGTAAGCTAAGACGAAATATTAAGAACAGTGAAGTTTATTTCTCCAGCACTTAATTCTTGCTGCAACTGGGATTGTTCTAACACAGTATAGTACATTAATAGTGGTTTTTGCAGATATTCAATCATACCATTGTCTCATGCAGTGCATATGACCATCTGATAGCTCATGAGGTTTGAGACTATCACTTAAATGTTTCCAATAAATCAGCCCTTTAAAAAAAAACTTACCTTAATTGAATTCTGACCTTCTACCATTTGTACTAGACAAGTTCTTTCATTTGTATCACAAATTATTCTCCAAATAGACAAGATTTATCAAACACTCCAATGTTCATTTGTGATCTATGTTTGACCATGCTACCAATTTTAACAGTTTCATTGTCAGACTGATTGAGTTGGGTTATATTCATTCTCATATTCAAGGCTACATTTATTCTGATTAAAGTCGGCAGAAGACCTTACACCTGCATCTCTGAATTCTCATATTTTCCCCTCCCTCTTTATCACTCTGGAGCAAGAAAGAAGAAAGTAAATGCTTCATCTTGTCTGAGAACTCCCAGTTGATTGATGGAAACATCAAAAATTTGAAAAACCCTGAGCCAACATATAGAGTACAGTCCCTGGTTCTTGGACTTTTCATGGCTTACCTCATATGGTTAAAACTTTTTTCTTAAGGGCACTAATAACAATTGCCATGGTCTTATGCTGTGTCACCCAATGTAACCTTTCCTGTTTAAGCCAGGCAAGGAAGTGTTTCCCAAACTCACCCACCACTGCAAAATTTTAGTTTTGCACAAAGGAGAGACTGTTTGAATGCAAAATCCTTCATGGTATCTCTGCTAGCCAAACCACATATCTGCTCCAATCATCCTGGTCCACTGGCATCCTCAAAATAAAAATATAAAGAAACCTCTTAAACATTTCCATCTGCATTGATAGTTGGGCTACTACTGATTAAACATATCTTTCCAGGGAGTCAGCCAATGCTGGCAAAACAATCATAAAACAAAAGTCCCTTAAGATAAGGGAAATCTTTTATCACAATACTACTCCCTGGCACCAGCTCCTCAAGTTAAACCCTGAAGCCAAACCCCACATAAAATTCCACTCCTTGGAAAAGATCTGCATATCCCCAGAGCAAGAACACCTCACTTTAATATCTAACATACCTTAACTATTAAAGTCCATTATTATTATAAATACTACTACTCTCAATCTTCTGAGCTTGTGGCTATCTTTGACAGAATTTCCTTTGCTGTCGAATAAATTCTGCCTCCACTTCAACCAGGCATCCTGTGATCATTTACCTGGCCATGGAACAGATTGGATTTTTTTTCTAACAAGTAAACTAAACTCTTCTAATCTGTTGATCATTGTGTCATTCCCTATATTAGTTATCATACTATGATTGGGAAATCTTGTCTATTATGGAACATAACATGGAACCATAGTATAATAATATAGAACTTTCACTGATTCTTCTTTTGCTTTTTGTCAAGTTTAAATTTAATAAATTCCTGTAGCTTTCCAACTTGATAATAAATGATGTGCTTCTCTAATTTCATCTTTGAGTACTGGACATTCTTGTAGATAGGGTAATATCTGGTATGTTGTCTTGGATGTTGATACCAGTACTGCACAGAATTTAAGAATATTCTTTCCATTTTTGTTTGAATCAGTTACTTGAGATTCCCCCTCCCCCCAAAAAATTCAGTTTAGTATAAATTGAAATCTGTGCAGAGTATTTATTGCACTGAATACATTATGCCAATGTTCTGTTCCCCCCCCCTTACACACACACCAATTAATGAATTTATTTCTGGAGAGCTTTTACTGACCTCTTAAGGCACAGGGACAAAAGAAGCAGCTTTACTCAGTAAGCAAAACCGAGACAGAGCAAATATGTCTGAAAAAATGTCACTCATCAAAACTAGAAAAGCGCTTGGTTACAAGAGTGCTCAAGCTAACTGTTATGTCCCGAGCCTTTGCAAACGGCTCGGGCGTTTGCAGGCAGTCCCGGGCAGGTGCAAAGCTGCCCGGGACCAGACAGGCTGTCGCCAGCGCCGTGCGCATGCGCGGGTGCTGGCGCGGGAAAAGTAACCCATTTACCCGGGAGTTGCCTATATAAGAGGGAGTTGCCTATATAAGAGGCTGCGAGGCGTTTGGGCGAGGCTGAAGCCATCTTCCTGTAAGCTGAACGCTGAATAAAAGAAACTGAGAACTCCAGCTGCTTCTCGTGTCTGCTTTCCCGCCAAGGACGCAACACTAACCTTAAGCTGTAAACGGAAAAATATATGAAAAGATCTCTTGGTTGTGCTTGAAGAACTAATTCTTTAGAACAGGGGTGTCAAACTTGTAACGTCACATGACATGTCGTGAGGTAACATGACTTTTTTTACATTGCTGGCAATGGGGATTGGTGCAGTTTCGACATGAGGCATCCAGCCCGCGGGCTGGCAGTTTGACACCCCTGCTTTAGAACTTCAACATGTTAAGTGGTGGTGGGGTTGTGTGTGTTTGTGTGTATGTGTGTGTATGTGCTTAATGACATTCAGATTTGTTGAATATCATCTGACTGTAGAATCTAAAAAGCAAAATTAAACAAACAGTTTCCAGGAATAAGTGGGAAGAGAAAAATATTTTGAACTTTTCAGTTGCAATTAAATACACACATTGATCTGATTAAGTTCTATTTAAGAACAGTGAGCCTTTGAGTAAATGTGTGGGGAAGGGTGTCAGCAATGGGTTCACATCGCACTAAGTCATTTTTATGTTAATCATGGTTTGGTAAACAAACTACAGAATCATGAACAATACTACTAGGATAGCAGTTTCCTTTTTAGATTTGCTGATTTTTTTGCTATGTAAAAGAGCAAAAGACCAATGACACAGGAAATGATCCAGGCAGGTTTTTTAAAAATATATAGGGAATCGCCTTATAATCTACAGGCAATCTACACATTTGCCTTAAAGTATTGTTTATTGCATACATTTTCACTTTCTTTATCCCTGTTTTGCTTTAACAAATTTATTGTGTCAGCCAGTTTACAGTTTAACAGAGATATATTTTGATTAAAATATGGATATGAAATGTTATATACTATAATAAACTTTCATATAATGTCCTAAAGTATATTAGCTATGAGACTTTAGATCTGCTAGCTATCCACCAGAATTTTGCTGTTTTAAGTGTTTTTAAATTCATATTATCTATTTTTATATTCTTCTACATTTGTACTATTTATATTTTTTCCTTTAATCCTTTATAATTTTTTTTTAAAAAAAGGGAATATATGGGGATTTTATAACAGTATGCCCTTGTACAACTTTTAATTGCACTGAAATTCAATAATGGAACATTTTAACGGACCTGGATAATTGTCTTTGTCTTTAATTAACATTATATTTTATTTTGCAGACAGAAACCTTATTTTGTGCTTTGTAGGTAGAAGAGGATCCTCTTGAATAGTTAAGGAGGGGAAAAAAGCACTCAAGATCTTCTTAAGGAAATGGCTCTCTTTTCTCACTCTCTTATTAATCTATGGAGAATTATATGACATCAAAGGCTCCAGTGTTAAACTTCCTGCTCCTTCATGGAATTGCTCCAGGATACCTTGAGAAGCGATGTGTTTTTGACAGTGATATCTTCTGACAGCTGCTTTCCTTGAAATGATGAAATTGTCAAGCTCAAGAGCAAAGATTCTATACACTAGAAGGTAGCATGAAACTAGATCAAAAGATGCAGTAGCTTGGCAGTTGAGGCTTTAACTGAAAAGCTGTTGAAAGTGGCAGGGAAATAAGATATCTTGTTCCACAAGATCTCTTCTCCCACAGAGGAGAGTGAAAGATTAGACTCCCATTGGCATGGGAGAAGGGAGGGAGGGAGAGAGGGAGGAAGGAAGGAAGGAAGGGGAAAAAAGCTGATGTTGCACATGATGCAGTCCACAGTGGAAAAACAGCAGAAAAATGATTTATAAGACTGAAAACTTGAGAATATGTTTCTTAATAACAGAATGCCCTGCATTATTGTAAATAAAAAGGACTCCTGTATATTTATACATTAAAGAAAATAAAAGGCCACATGTTTAAATATGTAGACGTTTCTACTTCAATAGAAGAATCCTGAAATAACCTAGGAAGCTGATGATAGGTCACTTTCATGTCAATGGCCTTATTGAAATGAGTATCTAGAGAAATCTAAAATAAAACTGTATCTACAATCCAACACCCTCATCCCCGCATTTTGGTTTCTTCTGAAAACCACATTTTGTCTGAGTTTATTCTAGCCCAAGGCTGTGATTGATTCTGTGGTGAAATTTACTCTCAGCTGAACCACCATAAAGGGATATTTTTAAAAAAGCTGTTTCCACAAGAAAAAAAATACATATTACTTCTGTGTTCTTCATATAGCCCACTTTGCTATTTAGAATAGCCTGCTCCAAACTGGTTTTCAATTCTTCAATTATTCTGGTGATCTTACTTGGTTGGAAGTGTACCAGGCTGGGGAAGGGACATTTAGAAAAAAATGACAATCACATCTTGAAGTTATAGGATGCATAGGCTCCCCACAAACAAACTTTTCATTAGATTTTTTTTTCAAATTCTAAGATTAGGTCTAAAATTGAATAATTTGCTTTTATTTGTTCTTTCCTATTGCTAGGTGTACTTCTATTTGCTGAAGCTGAGTCATTTTTCCACTAATCCTAATCTTTTATCATCTTTCATTGATCAAAGGTAGCAAAGATGTAAGCGGAAAACGAGTTCTTACAGAAAGAAGTCCTTCCGTCTCTCCTGAGCTGTGTAATTGTCTGAGTAAGAGTATAGCCTGAATGCTTATCAATGCAAGAGATTTAAAGGACAACTTTACAAGCTGGACAAACAGAGGAATGCTCGGGTTTCATTCAGGTGCATTTTGTAATCATGCCAAACAAGAAATGACAGCACAGGAAAGTATGGACACATCACCGAATAAACATATTTTTTACATGCGTGTCTAACTCAAAAATCATGTGCACCCACAGAATCTCTAAGACAGTTGTGTAACATCAAAGCCATGTTCAAGATGTAAAAGAATACAGAAAGAAAGGATGGGGAAGAGAGCATCATGGCACCATGCTTTGGTCCTTGAGTTCGTACATTTAGGCCCCTTTCATTGAGCCTCATGCAATTATTAGACCTTGCAGAAGCTTCCTTTTGTGAACTGGTTCTGTACAAACTTTTGCTAAAGAAACAGTTGATGAGGAATCAAGGGGACAGTGGATGTCTGAACTAGCCATTATCTTTGTGGCCTATGCAGTTATAACTTAAGTTGTTCTGTGAGACAATTATTTTTCCTTTTTTTTTTCTTATAGGCCATTCTCTTCCTTCTGGAAAGCAAGCTAACTTCCTTTGTAAGTAATTTGCAAGTAGCAGCATTCTGACTGATTATCACTGATAATAGAAGCATTTAAGCAAGCCAGAAACTTCTGGTGGACAGCGAATTTGGATACAGCATTGAATAGAAAAAGGGTTTGTGGCAGGTGTTTACACAGACATAGAAACACACTATCGCCTTCTTCTATTTCCTGGCACATGGAGAGCAGCAGTATGTGCTACACACTCTGGACTGTTCATCAACTTCAAACATAGGCCAGATCAACCGTGGAAATGGCAGCAGTTACGAGAAGTGAAATCCAAACAAACTACAGTAACTTGAAGAGTCTCAGTGGCAAAGATACAGTCCTCAATATATGCCTGGTCCCATTGACAAGAGTTAATGGAAAGATAAATCTTAAACCAGCTTGCAGTTTATAAACTGTCATCAGCTAGGGGCTCTGATCTTTGTAATGAGAAAATATCACAGTTTGTATGGATAGAGGTGACCTGATTCGCTCTGGAGACTCTCTCCTCCTTACCCTGTTTGTTACACTAAAAACATCAGATTTTCTGAGATGGAGTAGAAATGGGGCACATCAAAGTTAGGCATTTTAGAAGATTATAAATGTGTGAAAAAGGAGAGTAATTTTGTCAGCTTGGTCTGAGTGGGTATATAGTAAAATAACATTTGGAATATGTGATGGAGGGTGTTTAGGTATCCCTTTTAATTATTAAAGCATCAGCTGATTTTAGTGTAGCATCTTTTTCCATGTTAGTCTTGTAGCCTGTCAACCAAGAGAAAACAATGAAAAGAAATGAAACCAAATTCTACGACTTTAGCCTTTGAATGGACTAAAGATTAAAATTGTTAGAAGTAAAAAAATGGTTTATTTAATCAATAATCAAATAGGTGTGTTGTTATTTTTTGTAGCCCTTAATGGACTTTTGCTGAAACCAGGACTGAAATGACAATGCTTGATCAGTTTGTTTACAAATAAGAGATGGGACCATTTTTTGTATTTGAAGAGAAAGTGGTATGTTACTAAAATTGTTCATACTTGTTGAGGAAGGTGGGAAGTCATTTCTTTGTATTTAACGCTTGCTGGAATTGAGTATGTCTAGTTTAATGAAGAGAAGGACGAGGGGGGACATGATAGCAGTGTTCCAATATCTCAGGGGCTGCCGCAAAGAAGAGGGAGTCAAGCTATTCTCCAAAGCATCCGAAGGCAGGACAAGAAGCAACAGATGGAAACTAATCAATGAGAGAAGCAACCTAGAACTAAGGAGAAATTTCCTGACAGTTTGAACAATTAATCATTGGAACAACCTGCCTCCAGAAGCTGTGAATGCTCCAACACTGGAAGTTTTTAAGAAGAGACTAGATAGCCATTTGTCTGAAATGGTATAGGGTTTCCTGCCTGAGCAGGGGGTTGGACTAGATGACCTCCAAGGTCCCTTCCAACTTTATTATTATTATTGTTGTTGTTGTTTTCTTTTTTCTTTATTGCCTTTTTCTATTTCTCTTTCTATTTTTTCCTCTTTTTTCATTTCTGCAACTTCTGTTTTTCTTTTTAGCCTTCTATCTTGCTTTTAGTTTGTACTATTGCGATTACAATCTTTAATACAATTATTATATACAAATGATTACGTGATGGAGTTGTTACAATCTATCAGCTTTTGTTTAAAAATTATTAAGGGAATTTGTGTTCAGTATCTTACTAATTTCCAGGCAATGGTTATCCCATTTAGAAGAAACTTCTCATTGGAACCTGGAGAAGGGCATCCTATGGTTGTTCAGAGGCTCTTCAAGACATTTATTTTTCACAAGCATTCATAAGACCTTTTAAGGCCCTTGGTTCTTTGAAAAGATTTTTCAAATAGCGTGTAAAATGAAGGCATTGCTTTAGATGTACTTCTGAATTGCCTATTTATACTGTTACTAAAAATATAATAAAAGGATTCCATCTAATTGAACTTCTATTTATATAACAGAATTCCTCTCCTATTTTGTAATGGTTCCCAATGGTATGTGGAAAGGAGCTTGGGAGATGGGATAAAGAGATACTGCCTAGGGCAGGGATAGGCAACTTGGCTCTTTTATGACTCGTGGACTTCAACTCCATGGCTGGCTCAGGAATTCTGGGAGTTGAAGTCCACGAGTCATAAAAGAGCCACGGTTGCCTACCCCTGGCCGAGGGAATGGTCAGATAAGAGAGCACACTGCATAGGTGGATAGTGGGAGGAGCAAGAAGGTCAGAAGAGACCCTTCTTAATTTCTCAGGCTGTAAAGAAGATGGTGGGAGAACTGCAAGAATCTGTCAATGTAGCTTTACAATAAAGTAGAATTAGTTTCTGTGGTCATGTTTGGTCTACCTGGTAAGGCTGACATGTTCCTTGCACTCCAGCAATTCTGTCTTGAAATGTCTCTAGATATACCTGTTAATATTCATATGGTGATTTCAATTTTGTTATGTTTTGTAAAGGTAAGAAGAAGTCCCTGTGGATTTTACTCCATTAGTCGTAGCTGACTTCAGGGGGCAGTGCTCATCTCTGTTTCAAGGCCATTGCGCCAGTGCTGTCAAAGACATTTTCCACAGTCCTATGGCCAGCATGACATCATGGCGCGCTATTACCTTCCCACCGAAGTAGTACCTATTTATCTGCTCACATTTGCATGGTTTCAAACTGCTAGGTTGGTAGGAGCGGGGCGAGAACAGGAGCTCACGCTATCATGCAGTGCTCAATTCTTGAACTTGGGCTGCTGATTTTCCTGCCAACAAGCACAGTATCTTACTTGCTGAGCCATCGCGTGCACCCCATGTTTGGTAACTCATCATAAATTATCTTAAAAAATAATATTATTAAAACTTCTCCGCTTTGAAAAAGAGAAAATGCTTCTTTAAAAAGTCTCTCGGATTTCACTGCATATTTATATCTGCTAACATATTGTTGACTTTTGTAATAACCAAATAGTTCCTCTTTTTACTTAAAGGTAATATTTATCCTATGATGCAGGATGATAAGCTAAACCTTGAAATCCTCTTTTTACCCACAAGCCACAGAGAGGTCAACTCCTATTAAAGGTACTTAGCTTGGGTTCTGTCCTTCCATTATGACTGAGTCGGTCTGTTTTAAATATACTGTGTTGACTTTGTGGATTCCACTTTCAGCCTTTTATAGGCTGGAGCATCCACACTACTGATGACAAATGGAGATTTATTTTATTTGAACTACAGCATCTTGGCGAAAAGGTGAGCTCCCCTCTGTCAAATTTAAAGCTATGAACAGAGAATGTCTTGGGGATGGTCCTAATATACCAGTTGGGGTTGCAGTCCTAAATGTATTTATTAGAAAGCACATGGCACATAACTCAGGATGACAGCAGAGCGATTGAAACCCTGCCCTGCCGCTTTGGAATGCATGTAACATCAACATGTATACAGAAGGGACATGGCTGTGATCACATGCCACAACCATCATCTTAACTTTTTTTGATCCCTCCTTTGGATACAGCTGCTATACATACAAGCCTAATCCCTTTTGCCTCTCTTCCTCAAGGCTTGTGTCCTTAAACCACACTAATGTCAATTAACTTACCAGATTTGATCTCTAGTTTAAGAAATAACTGTTCTACCTTTCCTTTTAGTTTGCGTTAGTTTTTGCTATTGCAGTTATGATGTTTAATACAATTACTAGAGAAAAAAAGAATATGCGATGGGATTGCCACAATCTATCATGTTTTGCTTTAAAATTATTGAGGGAATTTGTGCCTCTATTTGATAACAGCTAAGTGCAGTTTAATTAAAAAAAAGCAGAAGTGCTGAAGTAAAGATATGGAGGAACATACATGTGAACTCCTCTTATTTCCTTAAACTGTTGTGATGTGTAGGCACAGCTGTTTCATCTTACATTTCATGCTATTCATAGTGAAACCTAAGTTTCAGAAGTTTTACTTTGCGCTACAGGAAAGTTCTTTGAAGTGCACTGTTGTCCTTTTGTTTTTGTTGAAATATTCATGAACAGTGAAGCAAGGAGCAAAATTTTCATTGTGCAAATGCTGCAGACATACTTATTTCAGCTAAACATTTCAAAGAGTATCCAGTGACATTCTGATTAGCAGTATAGTTAAGCGTGTGCTGATGATATGGTCATTAGAATATTTAAATATCATAAGGGCTACTCTGATACATCTATACATTTTGTATATACAGTACAATTTTCCATTGTCTTCTTTCATAGCGTCTTTTTATTTCCCAAACTGGTTTGCTGTCCTGGGGTTCCCTGGGTGCTTTCTTATTCAAGTCCTGATTCCACTTAATAGTAAGATAAATAATTGGCTTGAAAAATCATACTTAAAGAGTTGGAGTAACTTATAAACTGGGGTAACTCATTCAATTAAAATTAGACAGCATGAATGCCACGGGGTTCAGTCTTAGGTCCTGTACTGTTTAACATTTTGTTAAAGATTTATATGAAAAGATGGTGGAAATGTAATTGCAACTGTTAAAAAAAGCAAGTGGGATAACTACTATTCTGAAAGAGAAATACTAGTTTTTAAATACAGTTTTTAAAAAACAAAATTATTGATAAATTAAAGAAATGGACTGAAAATAACAAAATGAAATGTAATAAAGATGCACACAAAATTTTGCAATTAGAAATACGGAAACAAGTGTAGAGGAGAAAAAAGGGAAGCATTAGTCTGGCAACAGTGAATCAGGAAAGAACTTTGAAGAGTCTCCCAGAGTCTCCTTATAGGGTAGATGGATGGCATAAACGTTTAATAATAAAAGCAAACTGAAATAGGTTGGCAGTGTGATATGGCTGCAAAAAAGAAAATGCAATTTTAGATTACATCAATGGAGGTACATATATACTTTATCATGGAAAGTAATATTTGCATTTTATTCTTCATTAATCAGCCCCAACCTCAATTATTAAGTCCAATTTTGACACTTCAAGTAGAATTAAGAGAAATTGGAACACATTTGGAAAAGAAAGCAAATTTGAGAGAATTGGAAGAGAAAATAAAGGTCTGAGAACCTTTAGCTTTGAAAAGAAAAATATAATGTAGGGTGTGGGGATATGACAGCACTCTTAAAAATCTAAAAAGATGCCTTATAGCAGAAGCTTTATTCGTTATTATCCCAGAGGACAGGACCTGAAATAATGGATTTAAGGTAAGAAAGGCAAATTTCAGTTAACTATTAAAAAACCCCATAACTTTAAGAGCCAATTGAAAGTGGAACCAAGTATTAAGGAGAATTTCATCTAAATGCAGCTTTTATCTACAATAAAAAAAAGAACCCAATGATCTACATAAAGTTTTGAAAGTTCTACTTCTGAATAAATAACCTTTGTCGTCTTATTTTTACAATATTGAGCCAACATACTTTCCATTTCTAAGAAAATAATATCTTTCTTGAAATATTTCATCCTCTGTCATAAAATAATTACTTAGCAACATAGCTGAAATGTTTGACAAACCACATTTTATGCACATGGACAAGTTTAAAAGGCTATTAAAACTTTCAAGGTATCATGCTTATATTTTCAACGCTCATGCACATAAAATCAAAGCTGCAATTTTCTGGAGCAAATATCTTTGAAGAGAAAGGGCTATCATTTATTAAAGATTGTCATTGAAAGTAATGGAAATTAAAGTGTGTTATTAAAAGTGTTCATTAAAAGGTTTGGATTAGATCCATAAACTCCAAGAAATTCAAACCAACGGTGTCTCTAGTTTACACTTTTCTTTTACCATGTGAAGTTTAACAATGTAAGTGTAATCCAATTACCCTGTTTTTTATGACCTGACATTTGAAAAAAATCTGATTTAATAAAAGGTAATCTTAAAATGGAAGAAGATGCAGTGTGATCTCAAAGTATTAATCGCAAACAATGCATAAGAGCTTCTTCCTTTAAATTCAGAACATATTCATCAGTTGCACCATATTACCCATTGGTAATATTATTTTATTACCAGTAGTACCATAGTATTATACTTTCCAGTCAAGCCAATTCAGCTCTTGACAAAAGTCATACAGTTTAGAAATCAGAATGAAATTAAAAATAAGGAACCATAGTTCTAACTCAGAGTAATATTAATGTAACATAAAACAAGGACTGTTCCAAGAAGTTTCCACACCCATTTGCACTACTCAGCTGACCTTGAGGATCCAGACAAGTCTCCAAGTGGCCTCAGTGACTCTCTAAA